GTTGACTTATTCTGCAACACATGTGTGTACGTGCTTACAGCAGCACCCGGCAAGTAAGTGGTCGGCCAACCCTTGACCCTTGGGTTCAGAACCTTCACATTGTTCACAGCAGCAGTCCGTCAGCCCACCTTCAGCTGACCTCTTCTGCAGCACATCTGTGTATGTGCTCACAGCAGCAATCGGTCTGCCCAAATTTTTTGAAACGATCCAAACTTCAACTGCTTTGTTCTGCACCAGACATGTGTGTGTGTGTCTTCAGAAACACACATGTGTATGCCCACAGCAGCAGTTGGTCGGCCAACCCTGGACCTGACCCTTGGGTGCTACCCTCAGTTGTTTTATTGTGCAACACATGTGTGTGTGTGCTCACAGCAGCAACTGGCTTCTTCGTTGGAGTATTTATTCTGCAACACAAACGTGTGTGTTCACAGCTGCATTGGTCGGTCATTTTGTTTTGGGCAAATTCTTGTGCAACACATGTGTGTGTTTGCTCACAGCAGCACTCGGTCTGCCAAAGCTTTTAACATGAACGCAGCTTCAATGGAATTGTTCTGCACCAGACATGTGCATATTCAGAAACACACAAGTGTATGCCCACAGCAGCAGTTGGTCGGCCAACAGTCGAATCTTGGGTGCTCCCTTCGATTGACTTCTTCTGCAACACACATGTGTGTTTGTGCTCAGACCAAGAATGGTTTGCCAAAGTTGCTGAATGCTCAGAACCTGAACTTGACCTTTTCGTTGGGTTAATTTGCAACACATGTGTGTTCACAGCAGCAATTGGTCGGTCAATCTTCTGTTCACCTCCTTTGCAAACCCATGTGTGTGTGTGTGTGTGTGTGTGTGCTCACAGCAGCGATCGGCCTGCCCAAGTTGTTGAGATGATCTAAATTCAATGGACTTGTTCTGCACCAGACATGTGTGTATTCAGAAACACACATGTGTATGCCCACAGCAGCAATTGGTCGGCCAGCCCTTGACCCTTTAGTGCAACCCAATAATGGAGGGAGGTTTTTTTTTTAACAAACATTTGTGTGTGCTAACTGCTAACCGCAGCAATTGGCCTGCCAAAAGTTGCTGAATGTTCAGAACCTACACGTAACTTCATCGTTGGATTTTGCTGCAACACCATGTGTGTGTGTTCACAGCAGCAATTGGTCGGCCAGCCTCAGGTGATCTCTTCGGCAACACATGTGTGTGTGTGTGCTCACAGCAGCAGTCGGTCTGCGAAAATTCTTTAAATGATCCAAGCTTCAACTGACTTGTTCTGCACCAGACACGTGTGTATTCAGGGACACACACATGTGTGTGCCCACAGCAATAGCTCGGCCAACTTGACTTCTTCTGCAACGCACACATGTTTTGCCAAACTTGTTGAAGGTTCAGAACCTTCACATGACTTCTTGATTGGAGTATTCTGCAGCACACACGTGTGTGTGTTCACAGCGACAATTGGTGGGCCAACCCTCAGCGGATTTCTTCTGCAGCACGTGTGTGTGTGTGTGCTCACTGCAGCAGTCGGTCTGCCAAAGTTTTTAAAATGATCGAAGCTTCACTTGATCTGTTCTGCACCGGACATGTGTGCATTCAGAAACACACATGTGTATGCTCACAGCAGCAATTGGTAAGCCAACCCTTGACGTTTGGGTGCAGCCCTCAGTTGGTTTCTTCTTCTGCAACACACATGTGTGTGTGCCCACCGCAGCAGTTGTTTTGTCAAAGTCGTTGAATGTTCAGAACCTTCACATGACTTCATGTTGGAAGCTTCGTGCTTCACGACGTCACTTTCTCCATAAAAAGTTTTTCCCCTTCTCTTTCTGTTTTAGTGCCCTTTTTGGGGCGTTGCTAAAACACGAAGTTTGTCTTTGGAGAAGAATGATTTTTCATGTGACATGAACATGCAGTGCTGTCATCATGTTACATGAATCTTGTGAAATTTTGCCCCGTGCTGCCTTGACATCTCAAGTTCTGAAGGTGGGGCAAAATTCTTGCTTTTGGGCCCTGCTAGAGGCTTGTAACGGCGTCCTAGCAGGTCCTGGGCCCCCCCTAAGTGCTGGCTTTAGGGCGTCACGACTCCCCGCTTTTCGTGCGGGGCGTCAGATGGACTTCGGTGAAGCGCTCGCTGACGGATCCTCTCATCGCTCCGAGGCCAGTTCCACTAGCACTCGCGAGCTTCACAGCCAGCACATTCACGATCTCCAATTGGAGGTCAACGCCCTGAGGCTTCAGGTTCAAGCCCTCAGGTCCGATTTGCAGACTCTGGAGGAGTCCCTTGCTCGCGTCTGGGTGAACCAGACGGGTCATCATCAACGCCTCTCGTGGCTTGAGGGGTTAATCCAGGGCTTGCGCCGTGCCTGCAGAGTTTTTCTTGAACCGCCCGAGCAGTCTGCTTGAAACGGCTGAAGCTTCGTATGGTGCCTCGGCTGTCCACAGGTGCGACTCCCAAAGCCTCGCCTGCTGCAGCGGGCCCTGCGGCCGCCAACCTGACTGAGGCTGATCCTGATCACTCGGTTTCTGGTCAGGGGGAGGAGCCTAGTGATGATGCAGCCAGTGTCAATGCATGGGGCCTGTTGGCTCCCCTGAGCCCAACTACCCATGCTGCCGTGCCTGAGGAAAGCCAGGATCCCGCCTTGTGGCTGTCGGAGCCTTTTAGTCCCTTTGCTTACGACCCTGTGCACGACCCCAACCTTGGTGACCCTGCCTCGGACTTGGGTTCTTATGATATGGTTCATAGTGGGGAACGGGAAAGGTCTCTTGACCCCGAAGACATTTGGTATGATTCAGTGCGAGATCATTCTTTAGACGCGGTCCTAGTCGAAGGTGACAGAGAGGAGGTCGCAACCAGTGTTGCGGAAGAGCCTCTTCTGCCTGCTGAGTCGCTATCCAGCAAGCGTGTCTTCGAGGATGCCAGGTGGGCCGAGGTTGCTCAGGAGGCAAAGTTCAGGCGTGTGTGTCAGGACTTGCCAAAGTTGCCTTGGGAGCAAGGTGCATGGTCCAGTATTTTTGGACCTGAGAGAAACATGATCGACGATGCCCTTAGGAGCAGTGTGCAAGCCTCATATGGCTCCGAGGAAGCTGGTCAATTGCCACCTGAGAACCTGCCGTCAGCTTCGGCCTTTCTTGAGAAAACTTCGAGTGTAGTTAGGACTAGGCTAAGGCGGTTTCATCTTGAGCGACCGGCAGATGATCGACGGGAGCACGCCATAAAGCGACTGAGGGCCCTCATCATGTACGATCCCGACACTACCTTCTTGGGGATGGTAGTGGCAAAGGAGGCAGCGAACCTAGCTGACGATGAGGCTCTGTCATACTCCTTCACTTGTGCTTTTGCGAAGAGTGCTTCCGGCTCTCTCATAAAGCGAGCTGGGTCCCTTGACCGTTTTGGTAAGTGGATCCTTAGCTGCCGAGGGACCTCGCCCCTTAGAAGCTCCGAGGTTGACTTGTTTGCCTACTTCTCGCACCTGCAGGGCGAGGGGGCGGGAGCCACGTCATGCCAGCATTGTGTGGAGGCACTGCGATTCCTCCACGGTGTTGCGGTGTTTCAAGTGCTTGACCTTGAAGAAGTCTTTAGCGCCAGGGTGCTAGGGATTGTGAGGATTATGCACGTGACAAAGGCCCCGCTAGCTCAGCGTCCCCCTCTGACTGTAGAACACCTGTCCCTCTTGGAGCAATTTGTGACCATGAACAAGGATCACCGCGCATGCGTGGTAGGCCAACTGGTCTTCTGCGCACATGCTTGTGCCCGGTGGGCAGACAGTCAGCGCGTACAGAGCCTAACCATGGAGTGCGATGCTGAGAGCGGTGTGGTACTGATAGTAGCCGGGGCACTCGGCTCCAAAACAGCGATCTCCGCTGAAGCACGCACGCGGCTTCTGCCGTACGTCGCCCTGGGCAAAGGCGTAAGCAACGTGCCATGGGCAGAGGCGTGGATGGAGGCCAGAAAAGAAATGGGTCTGCAAGCTGGAGGGTCTTTTCTCCTTCCAACCTGGAGTGAGCGAAAATATGACTGGGGTGATTTTGAAATGGGGGCCGCGGAGGCCACGAACTACCTCAGGGAGGCGCTCATTTCCATGGGATGCGATCTTGATGAGGTTCAGGACTATGGCAGCCACAGCATGAAAACTACTGTCTTGACTTGGTGCGGCCGTAGCACGATCATTCCTTTCACGGAGCCTGAGCAGCGTGCGCTTGGCCATCATCTGGATCCGACAAGCAAATCTCCTTTGACTTACAGCAGAGAGTACTATTTGAAGCTCTATGCAAAGGTGCTGGCCGTCTTTTCGACCATCCAGCAAAACCGTTTCAAGCCGGATTTGCCTGGTGCTGCAAGTGTTGCTGCTATGGCGCAGTCCTTTGAAGAGGGCAACGAAAGGGGCTTGAGCCGACTTGAAATTCCGACGTCAAAGCTGAACAGCGAAAAGATGGATGAGGATGGGGAGTCGGACGACTCCGATCATGCCTCGATAGATTTGGACAGAGAGCTCGAAAGGGATGATGGCCCGACCGAACGTGAAGTTTTTCGAGGGGTCCCCTGGACCACATGCACTGTCCATTCTGTCTCCGGCATCACACATGTGAAGAGGGATCAGACCTCTCTCTTGTGCGGCAGAGTTATCAGCAGGAACTATAAACCTTTTCGGCAAGGTAGTCTGCTTGGGGAAAACCCCTCATGCTGCATACAATGCTTTAGGGTCCTTGAGGCCCAAGGGGGATCCGACGCCGAGGCGAACCGTGGCGGTTAAAAGAAAGTGCTGTTCTGATCTGAGACTGGTGTGTGCTGGCATGGCCTGTAGCTGAGTGCTGCGTAGGGTCGTTGTGCCAGCTGCCGTGAGTCCGATCGTCTGAGCAGTCATTGATGAAGTTTGCCGCCGTTCCAGTTTTTAGAACATTGATCATGAGAAACATGAACATGTGTCAAAATACAAGTAGCGAGGAGTTTGGACATGTCATGTGGTAGCGTCAGCTCATGAACATTCTTGAAGAACCCTAGGTTGTGCAACATGACTTCCTCCGCCCTGGAAAGTACTGCCGAGTTTGCTGAGAGGTGCAAGCGGCTAGGACTGTCGGCAGCCAACTTGGAGGTGCTCCAGCATGCAGGCGTTGCAAGCTTTGGCCAGTTGTGCTTTAGCGTGAGTGCCTCCCCTCACACCATCACTGACCAGACATTCGAAGCATGGGTTCAGCGGCTTTGGGTGCCCTCGGTTCCTTCTGAGCAGCAGCAAACATGTCTGAAGAAGCTCCTTTTCGAAAGCCAAACCATGTCAATGGGCGAGATTCGTCAGAAGATGTAACCGGCCTCGGAGCAAGTTGCAAAGCCTCTGCCCCCGTCGGAGCGGTTAGCCAGGTCGCAACGGCAGCAGGCTAGGATCACTGGTTTGGTGTACACTCCTGAGACTACTCCCTCGCACTACCTAGTTGACTTGTTTAACGATCAACTTGAGACGGGAGTCATTGCATGGGTCGCGCCTGAAAAGTGCGCTTCCAGGGCAGATGAAATGCAAAGCAATAAGAAGGACAAAGCCTTGCAGCTCATGCCGGATGGACAGATCAAGGTTAACTCCAAGGCTGCAGAGGTCAGGTGTGAAGCCAGCACTGACTCCAAGCTTCGTGCAGCTTGGCAGAGACGGTCCCTTGCAATGGACATGGCTGGGATTGCAACTTTCATCGTGGTTGAAAAGTGGGTACATCATCTCTTTTCAGTGTTTGCCCGCGACGTGCCGGAAGGTTATGCACCCATCCAGTTGAGGCAGCACGGTTTAGGGTTCAGGGTTTAGGGTTTAGGGTTTAGGGTTTAGGGTTTAGGGTTTAGGGTTTAGGGTTTAGGGTTCGACAGCGTAGCAGTCGCCCCGGTCAACTTGAGGGTGCACTTCTTTCATAGGGGGGTGTTGTCTAAACCCAGAAACTTAATTTCGAAACGTAAACGTAGCCATCGCGATGGGTGGGTGGCCGGGGTGGGTGTTGGGTTGCGGGTTGATTGGTGGTGGGTGAAACCAGAAACTTCATGAAATTCTTTACGAATCGTAAATATTCACCACCGTGATCCTGGGGGGCAGCGCCCCCAGACCCCCCGCCAGGACTCCTCGCCCTGGACCCCGCCAGCACTCGCTTGTTGCTGGACCGCGCCAGGGGGACACCCCCTAGAACCCCCGAAAAGAGTTTTCTTTTCTTTCAAACTTTTTGGCAGCCAGCAAAGGGCAGGCAGCAGGGAGCCAGGCAGCCTGGGCTGGGCCGGGCTGGTGGTTTGAGCTGGGCGGGCGCCATGGGGACACCCCCTGGACCCTGAAAAGAGTGTTGCGTTTAGCCACTAACGGAAGAGGAACGGGTTTGGGGGCGGGGGCGGCGAGGGCCGGAGTGGGGGAGGGGGGGCGGCATTCTACTTGAAACAAAGGGCTTTTGGGTGTGGGCGGGATGGGCGTGAGCAGGGTATGCGGTGGGTGTGGTGCACACCGCGGTGGGGGCGGGCGGCGGGGTGCGGGTGGGGGGGAGGCGGGGCGGGGGGGGGCGCAGGGGGCCGGGATTGCGCAGACCCACACCACCCATTCCACTTGAGGAGAAGGGTTTTTGGGGGTGGCGGGGGCAGGGCAGGAAACCCTCAACCCCAGGGCCTTAAACCAGCCATGGCCGAAAGCCATGGCCGAAACCCATGGCCGAAAGCCAATGGCCGAAACCCATGGCCGAAACCCATGGCCGAAAGCCATGGCCGAAAGCCATTGGGACACCCTTTGGCCTTTTACTTCGGTTTACCCCAAACCCGAGCACCCAGACCCGAATCCTCGGCCCCGAAACCTTAAACCCAGGCCCTAAACCCTCAACCCTAGGGCCCTAGCACCCAAACCTTAAACCCTCGGCCCCAAACCCTCAACCCTAGGGCCCTAAACCCTAAACCCTCGGCCCCGGAACCCTAAACCCAAGGCCCCAAACCATAAGGCCCTAAACCCTAAACCCTCGGCCCCAAACCCTACACCCCAGGCCCCAAACCCTCAATGCCTTAAACCCTACACCCCTAAACCCTAAACCCTAAACCTTCAGGGCCCTAAACCCTAAACCCTAGCACCCAAACCCTAAGCCCTCGGCCCCGAAACCCTCAACCCTAGGGCCCCAAACCCTCAACCCTAGGGCCCTAGCACCCAAACCTTAAACCCTCGGCCCCGAAACCCTAAACCCAACGCCCCAAACCCTCAACCCTAGGGCCCTAAACCCTAAACCCTCAGCCCCGAAACCTTTTTTCCCAAGGCCCCAAGGCCCTAAACCCTAAACCCTCGGCCCCGAAACCCCACACCCAAGGCCCCAAACCTTCAACCCTAGGGCCTTAAACCCTAAACCCTAGCAGCCAAACCCACGGCCCCGAAACCTTAAACCCAAGGCCCCGAAACCTTAAACCCAAGGCCCCAAACCTTCAACCCTAGGGCCCTAAACCCTAAACCCTAGCACCCTAAATCCTAAACCCTCGGCCCCGAAACCCTAAACCCAAGGCCCAAAACCTTCAACCCTAGGGCCTTAAACCCTAAACCCTAGGGCCCTAAACCCAAAACCCTAGCACCCAAACCCTAAACCCTCGGCCCCGAAACCCTAAACCCAAGGCCCCGAAACCCCAAACCCAAGGCCCCAAACCTTCAACTCTAGGGCCCTAAACCCTAAACCCTCGGCCCCGAAACCTTACACCCCAGGCCCCAAACCCTCAACCCTAGGGCCCTAAACCCTAAACCCTCGGCCCCGAAACCCTACACCCCAAGCCCCAAACCCTCAATGCCTTAAGCCCTAGGGCCCTAAACCCTAAACCCTAAACCTTCAGGGCCCTAAACCCTAAACCCTAGCACCCAAACCCTAAACCCTCGGCCCCGAAACCCTAAACCCAAGGCCCCGAAACCTTAAACCCAAGGCCCCAAACCTTCAACCCTAGGGCCCTAAACCCTAAACCCTAGCGCCCTAAATCCTAAACCCTCGGCCCCGAAACCCAAAACCCAAGGCCCCTAAACCCTAAACCCTAGCACCCAAACCCTAAACCCTCGGCCCCGAAACCCTAAACCCAAGGCCCCGAAACCCTAAACCCAAGGCCCCGAAACCCTCAACCCTAGGGCCCTAAAGCCTAAACCCTAGGGCCCTAAACCCCAAAACCCTAGCACCCAAACCCTAAACCCTCGGCCCCCGAAACCCTACACCCCAGGCCCCAAACCCTCAACCCTAGGGCCCAGCGCCCAAACCTTAAACCCTCGGCCCCGAAACCCTAAACCCCAGGCCCCAAACCCTCAACCCTAGGGCCCTAAACCCTAAATCCCCTAAACCCTGGGCCCCGAAACCTTAAACCCAAGGCCCCAAACCCGAAAACCCTAAACCTTCGGCAACGAAACCCTACACCCCAGGCCCCAAACCCTCAACCCTAGTGCCCTAAACCCTAAACCCTAGCACCCAAACCCTAAACCCTCGGCCCCGAAACCCTAAACCCAAGGCCCCGATTAAACCCAAGGCCCCAAACCTTTAATTATAGGGCCCTAAACCCTAAACCCTAGCACCCTATATCCTAACCCTCGGCCCCGAAACCCTAAACCCAAGGCCCCAAACCCTCAACCCTAGGGCCTCAAACCCCAAACCCAGTGCCCTAAACCCTAAAAAACCCTAGCACCCAAACCCTAAACCCTTGGCCCCGAAACCTTAAACCCAAGCCCCCGAAACCCTAAACCCAAGGCCCCGAAACCCTCAACCCTACACCCTTAAAGCCTACACCCTAGGGCCCTAAACCCTAAACCCTAGCACCCAAACCCTAAACCCTCGGCCCCGAAACCCTAAACCCAGGCCCCAAACTAGCACACCCAAGGCCCCAAACCCTCAACCCTAGGGCACTAAACCCTAAACCCTAGCACCCAAACCCTAAACCCTCGGCCCCGAAACCCTAAACCCAAGGCCCCGAAACCCTAAACCCAAGGCCCCGAAACCCTCAACCCTAGGGCCTTAAAGCCTAAACCCTAGGGCCCTAAACACCAAAACCCTAGCACCCAAACCCTAAACCCTCGGCCCCGAAACCCAAAACCCAAGGCCCCAAACCCT